ACTCTGTTTCTCTCTCTGTGTCTCTCTGTGTGTCTCTCTGTCTCTGTCTCTCACACACACACATACATACATACACCATTTGTGGGGACACAGACATACAACCCTGCTCAGTAACACAAAGCAACAAGGGCTTTTGAAAGAAATAAGGGGTGGGGCAAGAGTAATAGGGAACCCAGCTGAAGAAGAAGAGACGGAGTTGGAGCTTTGTCATGGAACTCAGCCATGATGCTTCCTTACAAATAGAGTAGTCCTGCTTCCTCTTCCTTCATATGCATCCCTACTTCTCTCTGCCTGCCTACTTTAGAGTTACATTACTGAACACAGGTCAAAGAACCCCTCTCTTCCGAAGGGCTCAGTTACCCAAATCTTCCCATTACGTCCATGATCAGGCTCCCATAATTGGTTTCTCTTTCCACCTCTTTCCCTGTCATCATCCCCTTCTCACAGATGTTCCCTTCCCAGACAGACAGTCCCCATTACGGAAGTAGAAAGTCCCGAGGATAAACGCTTCTCTTGCAGACCAAACAGCCGGCTAACTAGTTTCTCCGTGATACAAAGTTACTCTGGGTTACTCTGACTCCACGGGAAACATGGGAGCAGCTCCCTGCCCTTCCTTTGGCCATGTCTGTTGCTACTGTTGGACCTTGCCCCTGACCAGAATGCCTCCCCCCCTGCTCTCGTTGCTAAGGAGAAGAAAGCGAAAGGAGGGGAGATTTTCAGTCCTGGAAAGAGCAACAGTCCTGCAGAAAACACGGGGACTTGTCCTTCCTGCCTCACTGGGGACTGGACTGGAGAGCTTCCCCAGTGACTTCCATCTCCCCAGATTCCCATGAGAAGGTGGTTCACAGATAGAGTGAGGCCTCAGGACAGCATTAGAAAGCAAGGGAGGGGAGAGATAACGGGGAAGATACCAGAATAAGAAGGGCAGGCAAGAAAACGTCGGAGAATCGTTTGCATGGCCAACCCCTATCGATCGGCGGGGAAAGTGGTTGGACTTTGGGGAACAGAGATCCAGTGGTTTGGGTCTTCTAAGCTAAGGGATCATGCAGGGTAAGGGATTGTCCAGGTTTCATAGCCTCTGCTCAGCTCAGGCATAGAAGGCCCCCTCTGGGGGAATCTCTAAGAGAGCAGCTGCTGGAAGGGAAGTAGAAGCTCAGTGGGAGAGACTCTCCAAGGGGAAGAGCCCCTAACTGTACCCCTGAAGTGGGACTCCTCGCTAGCAGGAGTGGTCCCGGGGAACAAAGAGGAGTCAGGCCTAGGAAGGGGTGCGTCTGGATGGGGACAGCTCCTTCTGTGAGGGCACCTGGGCAGTAAGGAGCAGTCCCCTGCCTGTCAGGGACCCCTGGAGGTCAGCTGCCCACAGCTGAATCTCCGGGCCAGCCACCCCCCTCCCTCCCCACCCCACCCCCAAGGGAGTGGCGGGTAGAGAGGGCGCCTCAGAAGCGGGTGCTCTGGTAGCGAAGCCTACGAAGATCTGAGAGGCCCTCATCCCGGCAGTACAGCTCCCTGCAGGGACTCTCGGCCAGTCACCGGCCCCCTGCCCCGCCCCCACCTCCACTGCTGCTGCCGCTGCTGCTGGAGCTGCCGCTGCTGGCGCTGCCGCTGCTGCAGCGATCCTCATAGATGGAGATCTCGATCTGCGGAGGAGGCAAGTGAAGGAAGAGAAGCGTCCTCTTCTGGCACCTGGGGCAAACAGGGTCTTTCTATGCACTTAGCATAGGCCAGCCTCAGCTCATGGGTCGTGTTTACCAGCTCCCACATGTGTGCCTTTGTCATCTCCCCATAATACCCATCTCCCATGGATAAGGAACTCAGAGCAGTAGTACGGGGTGAATCCTGTGAAAACGCAAGGCAGATGATGGGGGAAGGAACTGGGGACATGGCACTGTCCCTAAAGCCATCACTTGTGTGGACTCCCTGAGACTCTCCTCAGATTCTCACTTCAGAAATAAGATAATATTATTCAGTGGTCATCCGCTGATCAACAATCCTAAGTGGCTCTTACTGCCAAGTGTCGCCCTCACTTCATAGGCTCATACATAGACAGAGAGCTGGAGGGACCTTGAAGGACATCAACCCCTTCCTATAAATGAGGGTAAGGGATTGATAAGGGATGGAGAATTTAATGACTTTAATGACTTTCACCAACCGTCCTCCCGGAGCCATCTTGCCTCGTAGAGCAGCATTCTATGGACTAGACCTCCCAAACCCCTGATCCCCAGGGTAATATAACTACTAAGCTTTGGCATTCTCTCCCTGGAATTGAGCTGTCATGATAGGTGACCCTCCCACTACATCTAGCCCACCCCAGATGAGATCTACTCTGCCACCACACGGATTCAGGTCTGCTTCCACCTCTTGCCTTGAGTGTAATCAAATCAATACAACCACTACTTCTACAAGGTGTGTCCAAGAAATTTCCATAGGTTATCAACTTGAGAGGCAATTTGATGTAGTAGATAGGGACCCAGTCTTGAAGTCAGGGAGACCTGAGTTCATAGCCCTGCCTCTAATATATACTGGTAGGGGCAGCTAGGTGGTACAGTGGATAGATCACCAGCCCTGGAGTCAGGAGGACCTGAGTTCAAATCTGACCTCAAACACTTACTAGCTGTATGACCCTAAGCAAGCCACCTAACCCCATTAACACATAGTGATAACATCTTAGTGCTTTTGACAATTCTCTAAGACCATAAATTGCTGAGAAAATGTTGAATTTCAATGGAAGAGGGAGTTTTCTATTCCCTGTCCCCTATTATTTGTTACTTCCCAGACCCAAACCTCTTTTGCCTGGCCACCAATCCAGTACTGCTTCCACACTACCCATCACTCACTTAGAGACATGGGTACCTGCCCATTGTCCAACCCACCCACCCCCGACCTAGCAGTCACAATCAGAAAGGATACAACCCTCATTCCTCGCTCCACGGGGTCAGTGAGAAGGAGGCCCCGGGGAGCAAAGATCTTCTCATTCTGCTCTTGGATGTATCGGGAAATCTTCTTGAGGACCTGCAGAGAGGGCGTTAGTGGGTGATGGGGATGGTCAAGGGTACAGACAATAGGCAGGGGAAACAGAAGGGGATGCAGGGAGGGTAGCACAGGGTGGAAAAGGATAAGCGGTCTGTGTGGCTGAGGGTAAGGCTGGGTCTGGGGTGGCAGCCACCTTCTCATAGTGGGTCTCCATGCAGAGGAAGATAAAGTAGGCCGTGGCGCAGGCCAGACAGCCCTCCAGGTAGGAGCTGCCCCCAATTTTCTCAGCCTCAGCATAGAAGTTGTTAAGAGTCTTCACAGTCTCCTCAAACAGCTGCCGCTCAATCTGGAGGAAGAACAAGATTGAAGGCCTAGTTGAAGGTTCCAGAGATTACAGGCTGTGATGGAAGGCTGGCATGGAGGAGAGAGGTACATCAGGACTCACTAGGGTGTATGCACAGAATGTGTGTGTGGCCCCAATATCGGGAAAGAAGAAATGCAGATGAGATACTTTCTGCAGTCACAGACACAGGAGGGCTTTATGCATGGGACCTAAATTGCCTCGAGCAAGTGGGATGAGACTCAGAGTTTGCGCATCAAGAGAGGGCTGGAATCTTTTTCCCTAGAGGTAGCTAAGTAAGAAACTCCCAGGCTTTGAATGGTTGAGACACTGTCTGACCAGATGGCAAGGGGACAGACTGGGACCTGCCTTGCTGGTAGTTTTCACAAATCATTAAACTGCAGAATTTCCATCGGCCCCACCCACATTTCCCCAGGGCTCCCTCCAAGCCACCCCTACAAGCTGCTAGGGCTTCCCTGATCACTAAGCTCAGAGACCACAGATGTCTGTCTGCCTGAAGCCAAAGCTCTCCAAGGGGGAGCTGTGAGATTCCCAGTTTCTGCCTAAGACACAAAAAGTAGAGAAAGTGCCATCCTTTCTACAATGCGATCTCTGCACTTAATACTGTTCTTTTCTCCAGGGTTAAATGACTCCCTAGGGCATCCATTTGCCTGCTGGCTGATCCAGAGGCAAGGAATGGCTGGAGGTTTTTTCTAGAAGGTTGGTCAAGGACAGGAAGTAATGGAGGCAACTCTGGACTATGCTTTAAATATATATATATATGTGTATGTGTGTGTGTGTGTGTATGTATATATGTATATGTATGTGTGTGTGTATGTATGTATGTATGTATGTATGTATATATGTATTTGTGTGCATCTATGCAGTTCCTAGGTCTCCCCAGTGGCCTAACATCCAAATCTGCCTGGCCTGATAAATAGGAGTGTGATGTTGCTTTTCTCTCTCAATTCCATGGGCCAGAGACAAGGCGGTAGAAACTATGCGATCCAGAATCCAGGCCAGACCCAGCTGGGCCATCACCAAGCTTCTTTGTAGGTCCTGCCTAACTCCCTGAAATTGGAGCTCAAGAGTCAGCCTACATGGGGCATAGACATGCTCAAAGGTCTCTAACTAAGCTTCCTTTCTGAAGTTACCTCCTATCTACTAGCTAGTTCCTGTATATATAGCTGAATCCAAATTAATGTGAATAATTAATCTAGGTGCAGCAGTCACATTACTCAAATTTTCATTTCACATTTCTAGTAATGGACTGGAACCAATGACCATATTTTACATATAACTTCAGATAATTCCATTTGAATAATTCAACCACTTTGCAAGATCCATTATTTGTCCTAAACAGGACCTAGCTGTACATAGTTATGAGAATTGTCTCCCTCAGGGGTGGGGAAACTTCAGGCCAGAAACTGAAAAGTTTGGATTCATTCAAAGGGCTGCACTTGAGGACCTAGAGGGCCACATGTGGCCTCGAGGCTGCAGGTTCCCCACCCCTGGACTATTATTAGAACGTGAGTTCCTTGAGGATAGGGACTATCTTCTGACTTTCTATACAACCCCAAGACTTAGCACGGTGTCCAGCATGTAGCAGGTGCTTAATAAATGCTTGTTGGCTGTCTACTGACCAATACAGACCTGGTTTCCATAGTGCATGGGCAAGAGGGTATTTGGGCTCCAGGTTCATTCACTGTGACTTGCACCAAACACCAAGACTGGAGACAAGAATTCCTTACCCGGCTGTCCAACTCAGGGGGGAATTTGGTCTGGAACTGGCAAATGGTCCCATCGCTGTAATCTCTCTGGACAAAGACTTTGGTGGCCAATGAGGCACTGCGCCGGAGCTCCTGCAGATTGTGACCCTCCAGAGACACAACGAATTCAATCAGCAAACATGGTTTCTGCTATGTGCAAGCGGGGCAGGAGTGTGGAGAAAAAGAGGAATAAGACACAGTCCCTACCCACAAGGAGCTTACAATCTAGCAGAGGGGTGAGACATGTACACCAGTATCGATGGCACAAAATGCTTCACTTCAAGAGCAAAATGGATACTAATCGATACTAGAGCCTATAGCTGCCTTCCCCTCTACAGCTTCGTATGTACCTTGTAATATACCTGTTTCCTCCGTACATGTTATCTCCCCCATTGGAATGTAAGCTCCTTGAGGGAAATGACTGTGTATACACTTTGGCCTGCGTATACCAGCGTATACATATGCCTGGCACATGGCAAGTACCTAATAAATGTTTGTTCATTGATCGATTGACCACCAATAAATGGACTTTGTAAGTTAATGTGACCCAAAAAAACTCTTCACCAGTTGACCAAACTTCTGGCACTAAACCTCTCTGAATTTCCCCAAACTAATCCTCAGCCATCAGATGAATATAGTCCATAGCTAGCTCCATGCTAAATCCTTACCAGTTTGTCAGTATCGACTCAAGACATTATGCTCTATTACAAAAGCATTCAAGATCTAGGGTGACCCCCATACCCCAGTGAGGCATCAATACAGGATTTTAGTGTTTAGGTGCTTTTACACTAAGCACATAAAAAGAGTTCCAAAGTGCTAAGAGAAATCAGAGGAGATATATATACATATACATATATACAAATATGTTATATATATATATATGTGTGTGTGTATATATACACACACACATACTATAGCTTGATGAGGAGGGGACTCTTGGAAGGCTTCACAGAGGAAGTGGTATCAAAGGATAAGAAGAATTTTAACAATCAGTAGGGAAAGAGAAAGAAATTTCTTTGGAAAATCAAAAACATAGACCAAAGCAGAACCAAAGGTAAATCATCGTGAAAACAGAAAAGCCCTAGAACCAGCTAACAGGGAAGAGTCATCACAACGGTCAGAATGAATTCCTCATTTTTCTTAGGGTGGTTGCCTGCTCTGTATGGCCTTAGCAACTAAGGAATTAGCACTTTCTTTCACAGTCCAAAGGAATGCAGTTGCCCAGATGTCATGATGGCCCTCTGCCTTTCCCAGCTACTCTGAATCAAGAAAAAGGTACCACTGACATCAAGAGTGGTAGTGGTGATTGTACCTCTCCACTATAAGTTCTGAGCAGCATTGGGCAGCAAACCCCAGTAAAGGTGTGCCATTGCCAGGGCAAACATGTGATATATGTTCCCCCCAAGTTTTAGTGCAATAGAACCAGAAGAACATTTGGCTGGGTATCAAGAGATCTGGGACCTAATATTGACTCTGCCACTCTGTATTCTTGGGAAAGCCGAGTCATTTCTCCAGGCCTCATTTCCTCATCTGTAAAATGAAAGAGTAGAGCTAGATTCTCTTTCCTAGATCTAATTTTATGGCTTTATTATTTAAGTGGGAAGCCACAAAAGATCTGTTTCAGGCCCCCAAGCTCAATATTCAGCTCTGCCACTATTTTATATAACCTTAGCCAAGTGCCAACCTCAAAAGAGGATTAAGTGGTCTCTAAGATACTTTCTTGTTTTAACACCTACACTCTACATGGGAGGGAGTAGGTCCATCAATATGAGGAAGACTGTGTGTGAAGTGGTAGTAGAGTTGCAGAGGTGATTTGCAGCAGCATTCTCAGAACTTCAGTTTCATAAAGGAGGAGAACTCCCACTCACTTCCTTCACTACTGGCTGCCCATTTGATAGAACACAGACTTTAAGTTGGAAAAGCCCTGAAAAATAATTGAACTTGAGGGTGGAGCCAAGATGGCAGAATGCAGGCAGCAACCCAGAATTCTCCCAATATCCCCCTCCAAACAACTTTATTATAACTCTTTAAATCAAATTTGGAGTAGAACAGCCAACAAAAGGTCAAAATAAGACATTTTCCAGCCTAAGACAATTTAGGAGGTCAGCAGGAAAGGTCTGTGAGATGGGGTGGGAGCCGTGACAGGCTTTGGAGGTGGCTGCAGCGGGGGCAGTGGCAGCTTCAGCAGTTCTCTCCCCAGAGATGGTACAAGGATAGGATAATTTGGTCAGGAAGAGAATACAGAAAACATTTTGCTGACACTGGGTGCCTCTGGTGCTACTTGGGAACTGTATTACTCATATCTAGTTCTAGGTTGCAGTTCCAGGATGGAGAGGAGCACTAGTGCTTGTGGCTATAGAAGAACAAGGGACCTGGTTGCAGTTCCAGGGTGAAGAGGAGCATTAGCACTTGCAAGTACAGGGGAGCAGGGGCACCTGCTGGGTAAAGACCAGACTGAAGATCAGGAGAGCAGTGACCACATCTCTCCCCAGATTATACCACCCTGGAAAAACCAAAAACTTGTAGAATCCCAGAATTAGCTCTAAGAACAGCAGCACAAAAAACCCTGAAACTGAGAATAGTGACTCCACCCCTAGGTGAGCAGAGCTGAATTTTAACATAAAGTTAAGAAATAGTCTGGAAGAGCAAGCAAACGACCAAAAACTTAACCATAAAAAGCTACTACAGTGGCAGGGAAGACTAAGACATAAACTCAGAAAAAGACAATACTGTGAAAACAGCTACCCCAAAAAAGACTTAAAGAAAAATACTAATACCAATACAAGCCCAACAAGAATTACTGGAAGAATTAAAGAAAAAGATAAGAAAGGTAAAGGAAAAACTGGGAAAAGAAATGAGAGTGATACAAGAAAATTATGGGGGGGAAAGGAGTAACAGCTTGGTAAAAGAGGCACAAAAAATACTGAAGAAAATAACACCTTAAAATAGAATGGGCTTACTGGTAAAAGAAGAACAAAAATTTACTGAAGAAAGAACTCCTTAAAAAGTAGAATTGGCCAAATAGAAGAAGAGGTGCAAAAGCTCACTGAAGAAAATAATTCTTTAAAAAGCAGAATTGGGCAACTGGAAGCTAATGACTCCATGAGACATTAAGAAACAATTAAACAAAGTCACAAGAATGAAAAGATAGAAGAAAATGCAAAATATCTAATTGGAAAACAATTGACCTGAAAAACAGATTGAGGAGATATAATTTAAGAATTATTGGACTACCTGAAAGCTATGATCAAAAAAAGAGCATAGACATTCTATTTCAAGAAATTATCAAGGAAAACTCCCTTAACATATTAGAGATAGAAAATGAAATCGAAATTGAAAGAATCCACTGATTACCTCCTGAAAGAGATCCCCAAATGAAAACTCTCAGGAATATTACAGTCAAATTCCAGAGCTCTCAGGTCAAGGGAAAAATACTTCAAGCAACCATAAAGAAATAGTTTAATTACTGTTGAACTATAATCAGGATTATACAAGATTTAGCAGTTTCCATCTTGAAGGATAAGAGGGCTTGGAATATGATATTACAAAAGGTAAAGGAGCTAGGATTACAACCAAGAATAACATACCCAACAAAACTGAATTTAATCCTTCAAAATGGACATTTAGTGCAATAGAAAACTTTCAAGCATTCCTGATGAAAAGACCAGAGCTGAATAGAAAATCTGACATTCAAGTACAAGTCTCAATAGAAGCATAAAAAGATAAACATGTGAGAGTAATTACAAGGGACTTAGTAAAGGACTGTTTACATTCCTATATGGAAAGATATTCCATGTAACTCCTAAGAGCTTTATCATTATTATGGCAGCTAAAAGGAGTCTACTTAGAGAGCCAGCATGGGTGTGAGTCAATTATGTTAAGATGATCTCAAAAAAACAGTGAAGGGGTGAGAAATTACGATGCACTGGGAGGAAGGGAGAGGGAGAGGTAGAATGAGGAAATTTTCTCACATAAAAAAGGCAAGGAAGAGCTTTTATGGGTGGTGGGGTGGGGTGGCAGGCAATGTTTGAACCTTACATTGGAATTAGTTCAAAGAGGGAAGAATATATACACATGGTTGGGTATAGAAATCTACTCAATAGAGAAATAGGAAGGGAAGGGATGAAAAATATGGGGAGGGGGATAATAAAAGGAAAGAAAGATTAAGGAAGGCAGTGATCAGAAGCAAGAGAGAGAGAGAAAGAAAGAAAGAGAGAGAGAGAAAGAGAGAGAGAGAGAGAGAGAGAGAGAGAGAGAGAGAGAGAGAGAGAGAGTGAATGTGAATGGGTTGAACTCACCCATAAAACAGAAGCAGATAGCAGAATGGATTAGAAACCAGAATCCAATGATATGTTAGTTACAGGAGACATACTTGAAACTGAAAGACACACACAGTGACAAAATAAAGGGCTGGAGCAGAATCTATTATGCTTCAGCTGAATTTTAAAAAAAGGCAGGGGTCATCGCAGACTTAGCAAAAGCAAAATTTGACCTAATTAAAAGAAATAATCAGGGAAACTACATTTTCTAAAAGGTACCATAGACAATGAATTAATATCAAAAAAACTTGAAGGTACATTTCCCCAATAAAGGCCTCCTCAAACATATAGGAAACTGAATCACATTTGTACAAATGAAAGCCATTCCCCAATTGATAAATGGTCAAAAGATATGAACCAGCAGTTTTCAGAATAAATCAAAGCTATTTATAGACATGGGGGGAAATGCAATAAATCACTATTGATTAGGAAATGCAAATTAAAACAACTCTGAGGTGCACCTATCAAAAATAATAAAGCTGGGAAAGCTAGGTGGCACAGTGGATAGAGCACTGGCCCTGGAGTCAGGAAGACCTGAGTTTAAATCCGGCCTCAGACACATAATACTTACTAGCTGTATGACCCTGGGCAAGTCACTTAACCCCATTGCCTAGCCAAAAATAATAATAATAATAATAATAATATAATAATAATAATAATAATAAAGCTGGAGAGGATGAGGGAAAATAGGTACACTAATAAACTGTTGGTGGAGTTGTGAATTAGTACAATCATTTAGAAGAACAATTTGAAACTATGCCTAAAGGGTTACAAAACTGTACATACCCTTTGACCCAGCAATAACACAATTGGTCTATACCCCAAAGAGAT